CAGAATAATGAAATGGAATGAGAGAGAAACGAGAATCAACCGCGTAATCTCCATCCTGGTACCGACTTTATTGAATGGGCGACCGCGCGGGCCCTCCTCCGCTGAATCGCGGCCCACGATCCTTCCCGAACCGAAGAGCATCGATCATAACACTGTATTCCAGGAGATGAGCTGGATCACGGGGCGCTGAGGACCATGATAAATGAGCTCGAGACGTACGGTGAGGAGAACTGGAAGGCGCAGCCTTCGATGCGCGTCGTCGTTGAGTGGAAGTCTCGCGTCGTCTATTCTAATGTCGTTTTAGCGTAGGCCGTACTCATTTCATAATTAATACTCCGGCTGCCAGTATCACGACAGTCACTGGCTCGTCTCCCATCTCGTTCCCTCTCGTATCTGTGATGGCTGTGGTGATGGTGCCCGTAGGTGGGGCGTGTACCGAGATCTACCGACGTACTATCGCAGACACTGTCCCCACCACAGCCCGAAGAATCCCCACCTAGAAGAACGTTCAAGCTCAGGTCGGTGCTCTCGCTTTGATCTATCATTTTCATTCACCGCGTGGAATTACTAGAGAATAATTTCCAGGTAGAGACTAATTACGCCTCCAGTGAAAACCTCCGTGATCTGACGGAACGGTGATTAAGACTTCAATTAGCGCTGAGGTAGGATTACTCCCCCTATCTCACCCGATGCAGCCTTCCCCGCGATGACGACTACGATCGCCACGAACACGACGAGCACAATGATGTTTATGACCCCGGTCTCCCAGCTAGAGCTGGATGTATTCCGATCCCCGGAACCTCCGCCTGTGAACATGCGACATTGCGAGATTCGATGGGATCGCCTCTCCGGGATTATTTTTTGAGTGGGAAAGAGGTAATCTTTATTGATGCAGAAGCTTCAACGGGATTTTACTCACTCGCTCGACCTCCGAGCTGATAATCCAATACGCAACTTCCCGCGAGAACGTAGTTTGGATCTCCTTGAGGAAACGATTCACATCGAACGTTCGGGTTCTCAAGTCTCCTGCCTATCTCCACTTGCGCTTCACACTTCCAGCTTATCCCCTGTCCGTCGAATCCTTTGTTTACACATAGTGCAGTTGATGGGAGAACCCCGCTACAGCCTCCAAGGCAACTGGAAATCAGAGACGACTTTGGAAGGACTCAACCTCCTAGGCGATATTTTCTACCTACATACCAAAGACTTTTCGGGGGTGGGAAAGCGGAGAGGTTGGTCCTCGTTTCGCCGCAACTCACTTCAGTTGCTTCCTCTGAACTCTCAATCGAAGGGCATTCTCTCCCGCTCTGAATGTCAAGGATTGGATATCTCGCAGCCTTATGCTCTCATATTTCGTCTGGAAGAGCGCTGTCAAGATGGGGGAGCACATTGAACTGTTAATCTTGATGCCGACGTTGGTGGACGGAGGAGTTTCTTCGCCGTGGATGCTGGTTGTCAGAAGCAGCGCGGATGATAGTGCGAAAATCATGGTCAATGGATTTCCGAGCTGGAGACTCCTCTTCGACTCAAGACCGATATGACCGGCGATGGGGATGGACGCAGCAAGGACGAATGAGACTTTCATAAGCCTGTACACCTGAAATATGGAGAATTTTCAAGAACTCTCTCTAAAACATACATTTGTGCTTTGAATCCTCAGCCCCGATCTGAGGATGATTCCAGCGCAGGCGGCGCGACGTGGCGACCTGCGTTAAGCAGCGCTCGTGATTCCGACCAGGCGAAGGATCCAAAAATGAATGAGACACACCTCCTCTACCACTATGATAGTAAGGTAATAAGAATTTTCGCGTTGGATAGACATTTCACCGAATTCAACATTAGAACTAGATCGACTGATCCTGGCCAAATAAAAGATCCTCTGAAAAGATCAGGGAGAGGCAAAGAAGTGAAGCGCTCGTCCAAAGCCTCGGAAGTAACTTCTCGGGGGCATTGGAGCCGCGGGAGACACATAGATCCCCGTTTCCACACAAATGTTGGATCTTCACTTCAGCAGATCAGAGCCGCCACCGCCACATAAATTCAGAATGACGATTTTCGGTTTCTGATGCCGCAAACCTCAGGATCGAGATGTTTTTTTAATTTTTGCTCCGCGTACTCTCTATCTTCGAGGAATAAGTCGATCGAATCTCATCGATCTCATCGGAACTAGATCATCATGATCATGAGAATCAAAACGTTCTCAGGGCTCCGAGAAACAGATTCGAGAAGCTTGTGAGGACTTTCATCTTTCGTCCTCGGGATGAGCCCAACTCATTCCGGACTGAACTCTACAGATCTCTCCCGCCGGACATCTGTCAACAAGGGCGCTCGAGCTCACTTGTCTTAGGCGGATAAGGAGACTAGAGGTGGACGCTAGCGGCTAGATCGTTTTGTCCAGCGGGAGAGTTATCCTCTCAAAGGCCGGGGAATAGACGTGGGATTATGTTCGAATTGTGTCTCACATCTTTCATGCTCCAGCGTAAGGGAAGCCAGGAATGATCGATACCGTATGTAGCGCTCCAGCGTTAATTCAGCAGTCGAAGCTGTTGTGTTTGCTTTTGAAGCACGACTTCACTCATGGTCGGTCACTGAGGCATCGGAGAGTACCTCCCGAGAGAAGCGGCGGGCGTTTGAAACTGAGAACGTCGCGACGCTCGATTCATCCATCTAGTCCTTCTGAACCTGGGACTCACTCAGGAAACTACCCAAAGAATGGATCCCCGGTCGGGACGACTGTTGCCTCGAGACGCCTCAAGGTGCTTCTGGTGTTTAATTGGCGAATCTACGTGCATGAGTCTTGGGAGAGACCAGAGGCATGCCAGGAATGAAGGAATATGGGAGTCACCAGTATTCGGGGAGGCAATATCCGCGCGAGGAGAACGAGCACTCACTTCCGATGGAGAGTCGAAACTTAGATACCCCTTGCTACCGGACCTAGTACTACGACCGAGACGAATCGGTCGACTGTTCTCCCGTGGGATCTCTTCACGACAGAAGCACGAGCGCCGTCGCGGACAGGAGAGAGCCGCGGCTTTAAGCAAATCTGCGGGCACGTAAGATAGAGGAGGTCGCGGCTATCTATTACGATTGTTCCTAATCCGGCGCAAGGCCTCTCGAATGACTCACATTAGAGCGAATTTCGAGAGGTTTTACGGCAGAGCACGCTCTCGATAGGCTTCTTGGACGGGGACCTCGAGCTCGGCGAGCCTCCTCGCAGCCTCAATACCCGTGGGATTCGGAATCCCTGCAGTGGAATTCGTGTAAGATTGGGAGTAATTCATCTCTGTCGATCCTAATAATTGGGAAGAATGAGGTCCCAGGTGCCACCTTCCGCCGCGCGATCCACCTATTCTCCATCGTTAATTCATTCTCTCTGGTCGGGGTGCAGCTTCGTGTCCAGGGCCGGAGCCGCCCTCACAGGTCCCCGAAAACACGCCCGCCAGAATGAGGACTCAGCCAGATCCGCTCCCTAACTGCGCATGGCCTGTGCATCTCGTCTCGAAGGGTTTCACTGAACACCCCTCTGAGAACCCTACGGGACCCTTGTTGCCCCGAAAAGTTCCTGTCATCGGAGCTGTTCACGCTCTGATTCGTATCGACGTCCGCGGCATCACGCCGGCGCGTTCGATGATACTATTTCGACAAGATAATACCGTACGCGGCAAATCCCAGCCTCAATCAGCCTTACTCATTAAACGACTCTTCTAAGTTTTTTCAATCACATCGACGACGCCGACGCGGAGACACCTTTCGTATGTGCAAGCGTGACTTTTCGGGGCGAGGTTCGCAAATGATAATCCAATGTACGTTCGAGCATTTGACAATCGTTTAAATCAAGAGGAATTACCGGATCGATTCAGCGAAATGAATCATCCCCATCATTCTTTGGCAATTCGATCTCATCCGAATCGCGCACATCACTTTTCGCTCTGGTCCGCGTGCCTTGTGCTCGAGCTCATCTTAGACAGGGCATGCACGCCTCTATCCATCCATGGAAAATCACGGAGCGTTTATACATTGCCGTAAGGCATATCCAAGCTCTACCGCTGTTCCCAGAGGGACTGCGACCTTCGTCTGCAGGATTAGCCCATTTGGGCAATAAGTCTTACGTGGATCGCACGACTAGAGCAATCGATTTCATCAACTTACTCCACTGTAGCTGGGTCGATGCCCATCAGGGTTGGGTGGACTATCGATCGCTTTCCAATGCTCCTCCAGCGAAACTTCCTAAAAGCTTTGCTCTAGAATCTAGACGGCCATACCATTACTCGGATGGCTCATATGCCCAGAAGCGGGAGTTGAGCATTAGAGCAAGTGGGGTAGTGGCGTCCACAGGACTCTTCTCGTTGGGGGGGGAGGGGGCGGGGCCAGATCGGGTCCTCGCATTGGGCTGATTCCCAACATTGCGACTCGCTCTCATACCTTATAGTATTACCTCCGAACTTTCAGTCTTGGAGGGGGCTACGGCCCCCTTAGCCCGCCCCCCTGCGGTCGCGCCTGCTCTCGGGCATACCGCGATGGACGTCGGCTGGAAATCACGCGTGGGGAGAGGTTACAGAATGTTCAGTTTCAGACAAGTCACGAGCTAGACATGTAGATGGAACGTAGAGTGGAGCTGACTGGTTCCAACGCCATCCGGAAGGGGAACAGAAGGACAGGAAATCACGATGAACCTGCTTAGCCTCTCCTTGGAACCGCCCATCATTGAATCAGGACGCTTCCTGGCCTAATTTATCTTTAGAAAATGAGAGGTAAAGAGGAAGAGAGGCATGAGAGGTCACCACCGGAGGACCGTTGCCGCTCTCGACGATGCTGAGCGGGCACGACATGCCGGATGAGCCCCCTACCTCCCCTCCTCCCGGGGATCGTCGAGGAGCTCAACAAGCTGCGGAGTGTCTCGCCGAGTCTCACTTCACGGAGCCGTCTCTAGAAGTAGTCGAGAAACGACGGACGAGATCTTTCCATTCCGCGCGTATTAAAGAAGAGAACTCCAGAGAATGCCATTCAGGTTTATTTAAAAGTCATCACTCCGCTTTGCGCTTCACACCTCTCCCATTTCCCTCAGCCTCCATTGGCTCTTCGCCGTTTAGTTCCCTCGTCTTCTCCGAGTTCGGCGCATCTTTGAATCGAGGGCTCGTGCGCCGCCAAATTTGAATGTAACTTTCGGAGAGCGTGATCATCTGGGGAAGGATCTCGGTGACGTGGAGATCCTGTAGCTCGTACCATTTACCCGTACCGCGGTGCAGAACGTGGCATCGGTAGGTTCCTGCGGAACGTCAAGATTCGGATTTTTCTATCTCGTTCGATGCTTGTCGTAGCAACAAAGAATCGAGGGATGGGCCTTTTAGGCTTATCATGACTAGTCAATACCTTTGTTCGGCTCGCCTTCGTGTACGATATTCGCGACGAGCTCGTATGCGTTCTCGGGGTTTACTCGACGGAGCTCCGGCGACAAGAGGTCACTGAAGTCAACATTGTTGATCGGAAAGTTGATGATGGTCGGATTTTTCTCCGTGAAAAACGTGTTTTTCGTGAAACGTTTCATGTACAAGATGAGATACCTGCGGAAGAAATTCTTTGTCCTCGAAAAGGAAGGAGCACATTCCCAAGAAAACCAGTCAGACAGGAAATAGCCCTCTCAGAGATATAGGACGACTCACATTGGCAATTTGATCAACTCGAATCTCTTCAGCAAGTTGTCTTTGTAGGTTTTGTACTCTTTTTCCTGGATCCCGTTGAACTTTGCCATGATGACATTCAAGGGGACCTGCAGACGTCAGGAGGGGAATAAGTCGGATAATCAGAGCCGATATTCCTCAGCATTGGAATAATTCTTCCTCCTTCTCTCGGTGCCGGTTCGAGCTCCGAGGACCGAGACAAAAACCTTACTTGAGGAATGATGTTCTCTTGTTGATCGTCTTTGAAGAGAGGTTGCGACGGCAGGTCGACCGTCAAATACATGAATGGCATTTTCTCCATCTGAAACCGCCACACGGGTGAGTTCGCGTGAAAATGGTACGACGAGTAGAAGCATTTTTTACCGGCACGGATAATAATGAATTGGGTACGTGACATGGGCAATGAGGGGAGAATTGAATGCGCGAATGTCGGAGCTCGAAGTGCAGAGGGTCACTCACTTTTTCTTCGTATTCTGAGGGATCATAAGTCTTGGGCTGGTGTTCTGGGTCTGTTGGGAACAATTTCTTGGTATATACCTGCCGGATGAATTTTTCTCTGAAGGCACGGATGGATTCTCACCAATAAGAATGAGTGAGTGATAAATGATAATCTCATGAACGGAGGCGTCCCCAGAGGCGTGCTGACATCAGAATGCCTAGAATCTCCTTCTTGGTTCCGCAGGAGGGACTCACCCTCATTCTGCCACGGAAGGTCTTGTAGATGATCGAACTCGAGTCTTTATTCGTTCCGTTGAGAGCTATGTGAAGCGAGTTCAGAAACCAAGAAACGAAGTCTATTGGGTCACCCTGGGCCGTGATCTGGAATCTTCAATTCTCAAGGTATTAGATATGAGACAATACTGGAGAGGATACCATGCTTTTGTGGAGGCTGACTGCGCTACAAGGATGATCGGCCCCTCTGACGCCATCGGGGAGATCATGAACAAGGGGTAGAGGAGGCCGGATGGACTCACCTCTTCTTCGAGCAGAGAACGACGGCCTGGAGCATTTCGTGAGGAGAAACGTGGGCTTTAAAATGTCTTGGGTTCCACAACTTCCGGAGGAGCTCACCGAAACTGTTGTGCATGAAAAATAAGATCCTCGTGATTCTTTCTCGATGTCGGAGCTCTCGCGATATGTTGGACTCGTATTGGCGGGCAACTCTGAGCAACAGAACCCTACCGTTGAACTATTAGGAACATGGTGTCTCCTGGAGGTCTCTTGATATCCTTGTAATTCTCATCGCGGATCATGAAATCTCTCAACGGAACCACGACCGACAAAGCTTGCAAGATCACGTTGCAATAATCGTTTGCTTTGATATTATTCAGTCCGATAACACCGGGTAGATATTTCGTACCTGCGGGGGTTCGACAGAACTTATGTTATTTCGAGCGCAGACTCCCGCACTGTATCTTTGCACGAGATCCGACAGGACAAGGGTCCCTGCATGGAGCCCATTCCCGAAGCCATCTAGATCACCTGACGCACGCAAACGGCGTAAATTAACTCTCTCCCTCTCTCACCGTCCAGTGCGATCGATAACTTCTCGTTCTTATCGAGAGCCTTTATGTCTTCTGCTGAAAATCTCGGCTGCAGCACGAAAAGAATATCTTCCAAGGAAGAATCCACGATCCGATAATTGTCCGGCAGGCAGAAGAACTCCAATGACTCCAGGTTGAGGAAAACGTGATGCCCTACATGAACACTATGAGTGTACGCGTGCGTTGATGGTCCTCGACCCTAGGGGAGAGATATCCGGTCATTATTGGATGCTCAATCCAGAGGGAGGGTTCACGATACACCAAAGCGGTAGAGGGATTCTGCCGCGCCGAGAGCGGAGAAGCGACAAGATTAATTCGGTACACCATACTCGTGCAGCGAGCGGGAGTTCTCGCGCGCGCGCGAGAGAGAGAGACTGACGATAAGAGGGTCGTAGATATAAGAGAGAATCGAGTCGTATGAGAGCCCTACCTGGAAGTACTTCCCGCACACCAGACAAGCATAAACATTGATCCGGCTCAGACTGACAGAACACAGTTTCTCGAAGTCGAAGTCCAGGACATTTCGATTTATTGTGTCGAGGTAAGGACAAGTCCGGCTCTTGTCGGACACGCTCTTGTCGAACGTCATCGCTACGTCAGAGCGAGACATGCGGAGATCGACGCTATATCAGCTCGGATGAGATCAGTCTGAAACGAAATTCGAACACCGCCGGCGCATCGTCTATCGTCTCATCGCCTGTTCCGTTTGTTTATCGAAGCTCGAGCAGACGATTTACGAAAGGCGCCAAAATCGGAATCGCTCAGTCGATCGAGGATCCTTCGTTGAGTGTCCGAAAGAGAACCTCACAAGTCGGAAGTCGGGAAAACACATTGAGCCGACTTAGTCGAGTCCCAGTGAACGGATAGCTGAGGCTAGCGGAGGCCACTGAACGAGGTTAGGAAGTCTTGGAGCCGTTCCGAGAATCAACTCCGGGAGCGCTCGGGATAAGAGGTTCACGGAAATTATTCATCGGAGTTCTATTCACAGAGCCCTCGGAAGAATCAACTCCGAGATGGGAATCCAATATCATCGAAAAAAGCACTTGGAGATCAAGAACCGATGTTTCTGTGGGCTAATTCAATGAAATCTGAGATATTGTGCTTACATGCACAGCCTTCTAACGATTGTGTGCTTGTGAGGAGGATGCAAGAAGACTCCCAACCGGAAGGCTTCATGATGAAGGAGATAGAAACTGAATCTATATAGAGCGCCGGAGAGCAGAGAATATTCATCGTCGGGCGGAGGGCGCCTAACTTCCACGGGCATTCGCTTCCAGTGGAGGATAGACGCTTCATTCCGGACCGAAAATCGGAGGTCCCTCGATACATCTGGGGTTGTGACGACCCGCCTGACGATGACGGCGGGAGAACTCCTGAAGGGCATAGGTAGACTTCTCTACAGCCCTCGAGAGCTCTTTCCGGAGTCTCGATCAAGAGCATTTCGATAATTTGTTAGGGTCTCTCCTCAGAGGGGTGCATCCCTGGAAAAATTCCTGCAATGATATGCAACGTGTTCGATTAGAACTAAAATACGGAGATTTCCTCCAGAACGGGACAAAGACGACCGCGAGAGAAAAACGCCATCGTCAGGGCTGAGGAAATGCATACGACATGATGAGGGTAGTATTAAGATACGCGTTCATGAACTATGGAATATCCTCTTCGAGGAGACTTCTGACAGTGATACGCGACGAGTCGGAGCCCTCCGCTGGATCGGACGAGGCAATGCCTTCGACTTCGTATTGAGTTTTCCGGCCGGGCTCGCTCGTTCTGTTTTTCCCCTCATACGCAGGACCGAGGATTTAGGGGCAGTACCCCCGGATCCAAGGCATCCGCGATCCGATCGAGGCAACAGCTGGGTTTGAGAAGGTCCTCTGCGCCCCCGACGTTCTAGCGAGTATGACACTCCTCTCACGCTACGAATTGGGAGAAGTAAGAAACGAACGGCGAGCAAGGCGCTGCTCCTCATTAGAATATCGTGAAGCGTGTCAGAGGCTGTCGAGTGAGGGCTGAACAGGCCGTCATTCAATAAGGAAGGCGGCTTTTGCAGAGCAGGGTAGGTCCGTAGCCGTGGGCCCGGAGTGAGAACGCTTGTTTCGGATGCACTTTTTCAGGCTAGCTCTCTTCGGGATGAGCACTTTGGCGTAGGTCATGAGTCATGACAATGGCGGGGAAAAAAGTCGGGAGCTGAGCGAATTCGGATCGTTCTTGTGAAATCTCTCCGAAAATCATCCAGATAGCCCGACGTGATTCCAATAATCGGAACGATCATAGCGACACGCCCCAATCTGTGAAATCCCTCAGCAGATGTGCTCTAGACATTCAAACGATGTCGTTTACTTCTACGATGTCGATGAGCGAAAAATGACTTGTCTCGTGGGTGCTCCTTCTCCATATTCCCCATCGTTTCGCTCCCTGCTCTGTCCTAGTTCGATCCTCGTCGCACGTTCCTCTTTCGGAAGCCATTCCGTCCGTCTGCGTCGATCCTTGCAAAGCCTACATTGTCTAAATTGCATACCGCAGCGAATCTTCTCGAATGATATGGCTGACAAAATCACATATGATCTGCCGCAGGGATGAACTGGTTCTGAAGATCGTAGGAGGAAGGTCGTAGGAGGGGAGCAGAGGAGGGATCGGAATAAAAATTGTCTCAAGCTTGTTTTGTCCGCTCGCTTCATCCGTTCCCGGCCCAAAGTTTGAAAGCAAGACGTCTTTGACTCCGACTGTGAGAGTGGACGGATGTCGGAGAGAGGTCATTGTTTAAAGTTTCGTCTTTCTTCTCCCCGCCCTGTCGTCCCCTTCTTTCATACGGCGAACAGCCCGAGTACAAAAGTTTTATACATACGTACATGGACAAGGGAAAAAATACGCGACTTTCTCGATATCGGCCGCGGGCTGCTTCGGTACCCTCTGCGAAGTATGAGCGGCATCGACACATCCGTCGAGATTTTCCTCCCTTGCCTTCAATCTCCCTGAGCAGACACGTTTCTCCAATCAGGTGAACGGTCCAGCAGTCAGCAGTTCCCTTGATTCAATGTTGGTCCAGCGGGAGGGGACTCGGAATGTCAGAGGAATACTTTCGGCTCTCGAACTTAAGCAAGGCGTTCAAAATAAAAGCATCTAGGAACTCTGGGTTGCCGAAATCCACCTTGGACCTGATGATTCTGTACAGATGTTCGCCAAGCGAACCAATCTCGCGGGCTCGTTGAGTTACACCTACATGGAACCGGATCCAATCAAGGCAAGAGATCGGATTCCTCACGGAGAAGAAAATTAATTCGCGGAGCATCAAAAAAAATGAATCAACAGATGAGCCAGAGAAGAGAGCACTCAGACGAGCGGGGATAAACTGGAGCTGGGTTCGAAGTGCAGGAGCCGGACCGATCTTTATTGAGGATTCGGGTCGCGATGCGAGACCCACCAGTCGCTCATATTCACTTCTTTGCTCGCTGCACCGACCAGCGAAATTACAGCAAGTTGAGGATTGTCCGTCATTCAAACTCAGACAGACGGTCAGTGAGTCGCTCAGTCGGTCGACCGATCGGAATCGCTCGGGAGACGGCGAGCTGAGTTAGAGGCCCCCAAGTGGGCGCTGACCAAAGCTTGACACTTGATCTTGGCTTCATTGATCAGCCTTGCCATCCAATGGTCGATCGGACCGCAGAACTTTGACTCATTTGCTGCTTTTGATGCCTCACGCTCATCCCGTAGATGAGTCGCAATCGCATCATGAAAAAAGTTCTTAGACGTCGCTCTCCAGCTCCTGGGAATCGTTTGCCTTCCACGATTATCAGCTCAAGAATGTTATAATAACGGGAAGCTTGTCTGCGGATTATCCTCTCGAATGAATAAATCACGCGAGATAATATATTCAGGTCGGAGAAGTCCGTGAATTTGCGAATGAAAGAGCCCTGATTTTCTTATGTGGGAGAGGAAAACTAAAAAAGTCAGACAGCTGAAGCAGGAAGCCAAGAGGATATTCAAATTCAGAGCCCTCCACACCCCACCCGGACAAGCTCCCAGGTTGGCGTGACAGGTTTTTTAGACTTAGCTTGGCACCGAATTCATTTATTGAATCAACAGCGGCGGGAACAAAAGGACCGCCCGGTGAAATGAGTGAGGGGGGAGGCCGGGATCTCGTTGAGGCTCCCAGGAACTCGCTCCGAAGTCCGTCGGAGCAGGCGAATTTCCTCGTTCCATCTGAATGTGATGACTCCAATTTTTTGCGCCGAGATGACCCTCGTAGCTGCCAAAGGCGGGCTTTCGTTAAGGTCTTGTCGTCGGAGAATTCCCCAGTCTTTTCATTCCATGACCAACCCGCGTGTTATCTCGCAATAATTGCCCCCATTCCTCTGCCCTGCTCGCAATTGGAGTTCTCTGCTACTCCGCGGAGCGGGAGGGTCCTCGCTCGAAATCGGGAACGTGACAATTTCGACCTCTAGTTGCTCGAGTTTCCCAGAAACGCGAGTGCGCAACTCGACCGATGGAGACGACCGGTTTCCAATTAATTCGGAAAGCGGAGAGCCGACTGTAGTCACGAGTCGACCCCACTGGTTCAATCGTCGTGCCATAATCCCTGGGGGATGGGATCCGAACTTCCAAAGGGAAGAAAAGTGGAGATCCCTAGGGACTGCGTGGCGGCAGTTTTCGTAGGGTTCGAGTTTCCCGCGATTCACGTGGTCCGTGAAGTTTCCGCGGAGCCGAGGGATTCTTGCTTTAAGAATAATCATGATTTCTTGCCGGATACAAGGTCCGACAAACGGGAGTTCAGAAAGCGGGAGTCCGAATCGCAAGTAGAGAGACAAAAACAACAGACACGAGGTCGCCGATAATCGAGAAATGCCCGCGGTGAAGACGCTCGAAGAGTCTGTCACTCCCAGAGCGAAGATGGTACGTCTGGATAATCGATCACTGCACGAATACCATCGCAGCGTAATTGAGGCTGCGTGTGGCTACGTCTGATTGGGTATCTGCAGAAGTGCTGAATACGTATTTCGGATCTGTGAGATACATACACGCAGACGCAAGCATGCACTAACCGACGACAAGGAGGAATCCGATGTCATCTCGAGCCTCCGTTAGACAAGCCTTTCGGATTACGGTCGACAAGCTGTTCCTTGACAGCCACCGCCGGTGGTCGACCCTTCAAGAGACGATGACGAACTTCAGAGAAGAAAGGGGATCGCGTCAGAGATGTCTGCAGCAGAAGAAGAAAACTGACTAAAAAGTCCTCCCTCGTCGAATCGAAATTTTGAAGATTGTTGGCTCGAGGAATCATACTCACGGAAAATCCCCGTTCGGCGACAGGCTGAAAATTGGGCGGAATTCGCGTGATCCAGGTCCCGAGATTCATCCGTCGTTCAATCTTAACTTCCCCCGCTGCGCTGTGTGATCCACAGGCATAAGGTGGCGCATGTTTGCTCCATTTTCTCCCTCGATATACATTCCTGATTCCTGGACGGGACCTTTCCGTCGACGCGCCCCGACACGATGTCTGATTTAGCGTCTTCAGAGAGGCTTGGGAGCTTCGCTGCGTACATTCGCCGTGAGAAACAGATCGAAATGCGAAGCTTCTCCTGGATCGGATAGCCCGGTCTCTCCCATTATGATTTTAATTGGTTCAGGTTCGAGAATTATTGAGCGAAACCGAATTCGGCGATGGATCGAGTCACTCGCGGTGCTTTCGC